TGCTTTGCTGCTGCTGCTGCTGCTGCTTTGCTGCTGCTGCTGCTGCTGCTTTGCTGCTGCTGCTGCTGCTGCGCTGCTGCTGCTGCTGCTTCTGCTGCTGCTGCGCTGCTGCTGCGCTGCTGCTGCGCTGCTGCTTTGCTGCTGCTGCGCTGCTGCTTTGCTGCTGCTGCGCTGCTGCTGCGCTGCTGCTGCGCTGCTGCTTTGCTGCGGCTTTGCTGCTGCGCTGCGGCTTTGCTGCTGCTGCTGCGGCTGCGCTGCTGCTGCTGCGCTGCTGCTGCTGCTGCGCTGCTGCTGCTGCTGCGCTGCTGCTTTGCTGCTTTGCTGCTGCGCTGCTGCTGCGCTGCTTTGCTGCTGCTGCTGCTGCTGCTTTGCTGCTGCTGCTGCTTTGCTGCTGCTGCTGCTGCTTTGCTGCTGCTGCTGCTGCGGCGGTCGCTGCGGCGCGGCTGCGCGGCGGCTGCGGCTGCTGCTGCTGCTGCGCTTGCGGCTGCGGCTGCTGCTGCGGCTGCTGCTGCGGCTGCTGCGGCTGCTGCTGCGGCCTGCTGCTGCGGCTGCTGTCTGCGGCTGCGGCTGCGGCTGCGGGCTGCTGCGCTGCTGCGGCTGCTGCGGCTGCTGGCGGCCTGCTGCTGCTGCCTGCGGCGGCGGCGGGCTTGCGGCGGCTGCGGCTGCGGCGGCGCGGGCGGCTTGCGGCTCTGCTTGCGGCTGCCTGCTCTGCTCGCTGCGTCTGCGGCTTCCTGCGGCTGCTGCGGCTGTCTGCGGCTGCTGCGGCTGCCGGCGCTGCGGCCGCTGCGGCGGCTGCGGCTGCGGCGGCTGGGCGGCGTCGGCGGCTGCGGCGGCGGCGGCGGGCGGCTTGCTGCTGCTGCTGCTGCTGCTGCTGGTGCTGGTGCTGGTGCTCGTGCTCGTGGTCGTGGTCGTGGTCGTGGTGGTGGTGGTGGTGGTGGTGGTGGTGGTGATGCTGCTGCTGCTGCTGCTGGTGGTGGTGGCGGCGGCGGTGATCATCGTGAATCATCGTGAATCATCGTGAATCATCGTGAATCATCGTGAATCATCCTGAATCATCCTGAATCATCCTGAATCATCCTGAATCATCGTGAAACGTCGTGAATCATCGTGAATCATCGTGAATCATCGTGAATCATCGTGCGGCGATTATTGTGATTATGGTGATTATGGTGATTATATTGCTGTTGATTTTCTTTCATCAGGTAGTCTCCGCATCCTCCCCCAGTCAAAACTCTGTACCTCTGACATGTGATGATTCGACACCTGAATCGGTCTCAGTTTTTTGCTACATCCCCATGTTCCCCTCAGGTTTTCTCATGGCTCCTCCATGACTTGAGACAAACTCATTTCCAGTCTGAATCCCAGTTGGTGAAATTGCTCAAATATCCCATTCCAATGTTTCAGGGTTAAAACAAAAACGTGTCATGGGAATTCCAGGGTCAAATCCCATTTGTTGACCATAACATTCATGGTATATATATACAAGTATATACGTGTGTGTGTGTTTCCATGATATTCCAATCCATATTAATGAGTATTAATGTTTCCAAGAGTTTAGTTATTTTAAATCCCATTCGTTGAGTTTCCATGGACCCACGCCTTGATAGGCATCGCCCAGGAAACCACATGTCAAGCCATTGGCCACGTTGGTGATCTTACGTATCACCTGGCTTCGTTTCCTCAATGTGAAACTCTACAAAAACCTAGCGGTTTTCACCATCATGGTGGGATAATTTATAACTCTAGGAAATGTTGATCATCTTTTCTGGATACATAGATGTACATACGTAATATAATATACATATATATATATTATGATTAGATGGTGTTACGGCAATAGCATCCGATCATAGATAGTTCTGTGGGATTGTCCATTTCTGGATGAAAACCACAACAGGATGTCTCGTCCCTGGATCATTTTCGTTTCGAGAATAGATTCAGTTTTTTGGGGGGATTGGACATGTGCATAATTGCGGTTTGTTAAAATCCCACCCTTTTGAGTGGTAAAACTGGGGGATGGTTTTTTAGTGTTTCGTTTAGCACCTTAACTGTACTGCTCTCTGAATGGGAAAGTGTGGGATGATTTACGGAAACTGATTGGATTTTTGGACAGAAAATTACGGAGAATTCTGAATGGGAAGTTTTTTGGATGTTTTGAACATGTTGGGCAATGACGCTCTGAAACGGAATGTATTTGGGAATATTCTGTGTATATATATATATATGTAATATACATACTTGGGAAAATGTTGAGAAATGTTGGCAAATCTAGGGGTGGTCGGATTTGGCGACCCTCTGGAGCAGGTGTGCTTTTTGCCTTCAGCGGCAAAAAAAGCGTTGTTTGTCCACAACTATTTGCATGTCTCTTTCTCCGCTGAGATCTTGGCTCTAACATGCACCCCAATCATGCTACTTCCATGGGGCTGGGAACCCTTCATAGCGGCGATTCCTGTCCTGTTGGCTGATGGCTGGTTGCTGGGTAACCCCTGCTGTTTGGTTGCTGCTTATCATGGCTGGGGGCGAAGCCTCTTCACCATCGTGCAATCTTCGTGGTGATTTATGGATGGGATTAGAAACATCGACCAACCAAACATTAAAAAGAAGACGGACACAACAAAAATAGGGGATTCACCAAACCTTGTGGTTTCAACGGTTTCAACTTCACCAATGGCGTGGTGCAGTACATTTGGTTCAGCCCACGGCTTCAGCCTACCCTCCAAGGTTCGAAGGTGACACGCTGTGATATGCTGTGGCGCAGTGAAAGTGAGATGTTGCTTCAATGGAACTGGGACCGAGATGGGACATACCCAGTTTCCTTTCCAATCCACCATCTACTGCTTGGTGGTTGACCTACCCCTCTGAAAAATATGAGTCAGTTGGGATGATTATTCCATTCCCAATATGATGGGAAAGTCATAAAATTCCGTGGTTCCAGTCACCATCAACCGGTATAGGTTTTTCTATGTTCGATTGTCTAATTCCCTTACATGTTGTCCAGATGTTTTTTTTGAAGATCACATGAAGATTTGCAAGTTTCACCGGGTTTCACCGGCCCAAGGATGCCCAAGGATGCCCACATTTAGTAGGACCTTCAATGCCAAAACCTCAGTCTTCAATTCCAGGACTTTCAAGCTGGATCTGTATTCAACTTGAAACCTTACAGTCATGTTTTCTCTTCTATTGGTTTTAGGTGTTCACTGTTCACATGTCTTCACCTTCTGGTGCGTTCACCCCTCTCAAAAATATGCTCGTCCGTTGGGATCGTTCCCCCTGCCAATAAAAGAATTGCCAGCAAGTGACCATGATAGTCTATTTCCATTTATAAATACCCACTATGCATCATTGGCTATCTATACATATATTTATATATATATACCCAGCCATGAAATAGGATATATATATATATTTGTATATACGACTATATCTCACATATATATATATATATACCCATTTAGATGGTTAAATTCCCGTTTCAGATAGTTACATAAATATCCCCGTTTTAGATAGTTCCCCTCTGGTAATCAAAAGTGACTTGCTGGAAAATCTACCATTTAGTTCAGTTCGATGATTTTCCCGCTAAAACACAATTTAAAACCTCCATTTATAGGGGATGTTCCATTGGTATGTTTGATGACCGAAGGGTATATCAGCATCCTTGTCTTATGACCCATAAGACACCTCCCTGGACCCCCAGAAGACGCGCCTTGTCATTGACCAGAACTGGCGGCGTGGCAGGCGTGGTAGGCCACCCCGGACTTGGGGTGAAGTTGGGAGTACATATCATGGTGATAACCTCCATAAGATAGGATATAACTATGGTTATATAATATAACATCCATGGTATAACATCCTCTAGGGGTTATACCATGGAGGTTATCATAACATAAATGGGTATAACCCCTAGAACTATGATTATATGATATAACGTAGACGGACTTATCTGTGGAACTGCACCCTCAAGGAGAACGGTTTTCTAGAAAGATTCTGGGGAAAAAATGGCAGAAATATATCGAATCATCGAGCCCTTCAATTTGATAGATCTATCAGAATCCAGCATCATTTTTACCTTTGGCTTCAAGAGATCAGTTTGAGTACCCCTGGGTCAATGATTCAGTAGGTTTACAATCCGCAAAACGAAGCACTTCCTGGCATAACCCCTCGGAAACCATCATGATATGTACCCTCCGGTAATCAGTCACATGGCTTGCTGGAAACTCCACCAACAGTTCGATGATTTTCCCACTGAAAATCTCCAGTTAGTTCAAGGATTTCCCAGCCACGTTTTTCCAAAAAAATCGAGAGATCCTGACATCCCAAAAATCGACCAAGGTCATACTGGGCCCCAAGTGCCGCTGGGATGATCCCCAGATGGTTGGTTATATCCCAGTATCTCATTATATAAATGGATACATCTGGGGATATATCATATAGTGGGGATATATTTGGGGATATAATTATATAATGATATAATGGGATATAACCAAATGTATCCCTACCAAAAACCCCGATGTTCTTGCTTACAATAGATGGGAGTAAAACCGCATTGTCCCGATTTTCATGGGGCCACTAAACCACCTTCAAATCGGAAAAATCACCATGAAATCCGCCAAAGTGATGCTTAAATCCGAAATTTGGTGGTTACATCCCATGATTAGTGTTAAAATCCCAATTTTCTGGGTTAAATGCCATGACAACACAAGAAAAAATATCTTAAAGTCATTGAACCACCATTAAATCGCTAAAGTACCATTTCCCCATGATCTCCCTATTTTTGTGACGAAAATCCCCCAGTTTTTTGCCAGGAAAAAAATATAAAAATAGAAGAAAAAACATCCCACTCCGCCGCGCCTTTGAGATCTGCGGAAATGTCGTCCATGAGGCTGGCCGTCTTGGCCTTAGGGTCAACATTCAGTGGCCAAGAAAAATATGGAGTTTTCATGGGAATTTAATGGGAAATGAATGGGAAGTTAATGGGAAATTGATGGGATTTATTGGGGGTT